TTCCCTCAAATCCTGAGAAAGATGAATTCTTCCCACCATTTCCCCATGATAAAACACAGTTAGGGTTTCCACTCAGGCATCCTGACACCCATTCTATTCCTGGCCTCTCACCCAGATGGAATCAGGTGGAAAAGGGCAGATGATACTACTTTTAATGAATTTGCCGACTCCATTTTGAATTATTTTGTCTAGTTTCATCAAATGAATTGAGAGGTAGATGGATCCTAGAAAGCATTTAAACCATTTTTCAAATAAGGAAGCTGAGTCTCAGAGAAGTTAAGTAATTTGTCAACATTGCTCAACAAACCAAGCCAAAATTAGGACCCATGTCTACTGATTGCAGTCTAATGGTCTTTTAGGAAGCCATGTTTCAAAAAGAATATGCCAACATTGCAAAGTAACCAATGACAATCCAAGGAATTTAAAGGGTAAACAATAAGACCGCTAAAGAAAGGTGCATGGAGGTGGCATTTTTTAAACCTGGGTAGAGAAGGCTCATATTGTATCAGTAAGATATGTAACAGTGCTCTAGTATTCTAGAAGACCTATTTCAGCTTTCTAAATGTGTTGGCACCATCTATATAGAACCTAAATATGTCTTAACTTTGGAAAAGATATACAGATGGAGATTGTGAAACCTCTTTCCATTTGATTTTTTTTTTAAATAGAAAACAAGCCACTGTCTTTGCTGGCACAAAGTTAGAGAGCAAGTTCAACTCCAGGGATCATCTAGTTACATATTTCTATGGTACCTAAGTGAGAAAAATGTTGAAAATGTCACTGTGTAAGTTCAAATCACCTTCTGAATAATAACGTAAGGGAGTTTTGTTTCTACTCACCTGTTATTTAGAAGAATGAGAAAACCATATCCACTGCAAAAGGCCCTAGGTAATGTGGTAGGAAAGAGAGTTTCATAATTCTTTGTAACCATAGGTTGTATTCTTAAATGTCTACCCTCTAGAATTACCTTCCATCAATGACCCTTCAGTTCTGAGAAAGCCACAAAAGACTCAAGAGAGTGATGATTGAAAAGGGCACTTTGTCTGCATCAACGTGCCATAGCAATAAATTACTCTAAGTCCTAAATGTAGCACAGAGAAGGGAATGTGATGCAAATGCTAACAACCTGATATTTGCCCTCTGTGAAGCTCTGGCTTTCAGCAGACCACGTTCCTGTAAGTTTGCAGATGAAAAACAAACACCCTTATCCATATTGGCTTTGGTCTCTGTACTGAAACTGGACTAGGAGAGTGTCCCAATCAGTAAAAGGGAATGACCTTTGGCTGGGTAGCCATAAGGATGACCTGAATGTTTTTTTCTGACTGTGTAAACAAGAGCTATGACAGTCGGAGGCCTCTGTACCACTGAGGGAAATTTCCTTCTTTTTGAATGCCTTTGTAGTGTTTATGGTGGAGAGTCTCACCTTAGATTACCTAAGATTTAATTTTTTTCCAATCTCCATTTGAAATTCAGAATAAGGAAACTGCATATTGATTTCCTGGAAGCCATCAACCTAAAGCCACCTGATGATGGAAAATTCATTCTTAATGCTTCATGGTCAGTTATTTTAAAATATGTAGCGAGAAAAACAAGGGTCATCAGATATTTTATAAGGTTAAAAAAAGGACGTGAAAAAAAAAGAAGTCTCAAATGTCCAGACATGGCCTGTATCCCCTGATCATTAACATCTCTTAAAACTTCAATAGAAAGAAAAATCTCTATCCAAATAAACTCCTTGTTTTCAATGGGGAGAGTTTGCTTTTTTTATTTTTTGCTCTGTGAATAAAAAATTTATTTAAAGGTAGAGAAGAGAGGTATGAATGAATAAAAAAAATAACATTGAACAATTACTTTGAGTATCACACTGTGTTAAGTACTGGGGATGCAAATATGATCAATATCCAGTGTAACGAATGACAACCAAAGGAATTTAAAGAATAGATAATAAGACCTTTAAAAAAGGTACATGGAATTGTAATTTTTTTAAACCTCTCAAACATCTCATATTCTAATAACAGGATCACAATGGCAAGTCAAATGGAAAGGCTCCATAGTTAGTAGGGTGCACTGGCAAAGCATATGATAATAGTACAATCAAAATCATGATCTTCAACGCCAAGTTCACTGCTATCCAATCCCTGAGACACAGTCTAAGATTGTCCCAGTGTTCATACAGGTGAGTAGGACACAAGGGTTCCACTAAGTGCACTGTAGCAGGCTGATCCAAAGTCAAGAATTCTGAAATGTTCCACTTGGAAAACCACGAGTCAACACTCCTCCCCAGTCACCACCACCAACAGTGTCATATGCTTGGAAGTCTCAAAAAGAGTTACTTGTTTGGGGGTGGGAGAAAGGGAGAGAATGCTACTGTGCCTAAAAAGTTACTTCACTGGTTTGACTAATTTGAATTCCTTTATCTGCCCCATCCCCCATCATGTTGCTTTCCTTATGTCACCTTTGTAGTGACTAAAGGAACCTGTGCTACTGTTAAGACAACATGTCACTGCTCCTGGTAAGGCTACACATAATCAGAATAAGTAGCTATTTCCATGACATGATCTAAGAGACCACGAAAGATTTCTTGACCTCTCTCAAATCCTTCTGAAGTCCTCAATAATAAAAAAAATTCCATTTTTAGAATTTCTTATTCAAGTTATGGAATTGTTTTCAAGATGCCTCTAGGAAAATGCAAATGTTACTAAAAGTTGTAAAGGATCAGCTCTTTAATACTCACTGCCGTGAATAAATTCACAAGTTATCTAGAAGAAAATTAGATCCTGAGAAATCAGAGAAAGTGAATCTGAGTTTTCCTGGGGGGCAGTTGGGGAAAGTCCACAGCACACTGCCTGGATATTGACAAGCTTTCTTTCTATTACAATAAAAAAGCCAGCCTCATTGCTCCTTGATATAGGATTATATTGAGATGAGCAAGAAGTTGCACACAGTAGGCACACAGAATCACAGACCCAGAGCTAAAAGGGACTTCAAAGACCATTTGATACAACTCCTTTATTTTACAGAAGAGAAAATTGGGGCTCAGGGAACCTGAGTGACTTACCCAAAACTACACTGAGAGTAAGCAAGAGATAGGATTAGAGCTCAGTGACATAATATACTAATGTAGTGGGAAAAGCTCTGTTGCAGGAGTCAGAAAACAACTTGGGTGATAGTCCTAGTGCTGCTACTAGAACTCACAATGATCTTGGACAAATCGCATCCAACCTCTCTATCTCCCATTCTAATAATAGCTATTTTGGCTACTTCACAAGAATATTTGTGTAGAGTAGATAAAATAATTTCCATGATTTTACCTTATTAATAATAAATGCAAATTTGTAATGAAATGAATTTTGATGAATCAAATAAAATTTGTAATCAAATATAAATGAAAAATGTAAATTTACCTTGTAAAGGATAAAAGTGATTAAAAAGTAAATAATGACGATGTTGATAATGATATTTATGAAGTTCACCAAAACAAATAATTTATTATTATCCTCCTAAAAAATGTATCCTTTGGGTAAGAATAATATACTAATCATTTTACAAACAGAAAAATTTAGAAATTCTATCCCAGGTTTTTAGAATAAATAAGGAAACTCTTATTTCTTATACTATCGTTTCTCCTTTTTTTCTTCAAGTATCTGGCACACAGGGGCACTTGGGTGCCACAGCAGATAGAGCATCAGGCTTGAAGTCAGGAAGAGCTCTTCCTGAGGTCAAATCTGGCTTCAGACCCTTGATAGCTGTGTGACCCAGGGTGAGTCACTTAACCCTGTTTGCCTCAGTTTCCTCATCTGCAAAATGAGCTGAAGAAGGAAATGGCAAACCACTCCATTATCTTTGCCACAAAAACCCCAAATGGGATCACAAACAGTTGAATATGACTGGAAAATGACGGAACATCCAACCTGGCACACAATACTTAATAAGCATTTGTTTGTTTATTCATTCATTTATCATCATCAAGGACACAATGACATACTGTGACATATTGTGGACACAATGCACATACTATTTCCCTACATTGGACAATATCATTGCTGATGATAACATACGCGGTGTAGACTATTTAGTTCTCTATTCCCTCATTTCTAAAACTGAATGACAGTGATTGAATGGCAAGAGGAAAAGTATCAATTCTATGTAATTACACTGGTTATGAGGAGTCATTTCCCTGTTCTTCAATATTTATCTTTATGATGAGAAGATACAAGCCATCCTGCCAGCTATCTTTGAAATAGTAAAATATCAAGGGAATCAGCTCTTTTAGAATGAAAGAGGAAACATTTGGGAAGAGAGATGAAATGTCTCAAAGAATAAAGATTGAGCCTCCCTAGATAAATTGAAATCTGAAGTGTAGATATGCCTAGGCAGCAGGCAAAATGAATGATAATCAAACGCTAGTAGAATGAGGATGTGATCTCCAGAGGCTTCTCCAAATAAAATTGCTGTCTTATACTCAAGGTAACTATTTGGAAAAGCATGGTTAAGGGAGAAGAGTACTGCCATAAGAGAAAGGAAATGAGAAAAGGCTTATCTGAATATGTTGCTATGTTCATATAAAGTCAAATGTAAAGTTTTCACTCGTCCATGTGAGGCAAATACTACCACCTGGATAGGAAACATGCACATTAAGCAAAACAGGAATAGTTCAGGGATATAGTGGTTCAAATCCCCTGATTCTGAGGATTTAAAAATATATAGTATAAAAATGTTTAGAAATCCAATATTTTTAAACATTTGACAAGAGGCATATAGGATGAGTAACACGAATGGGTTGTAATACACAATACTAAAGGGGGCACACACATCAACGAGATAACAAATTCATTGAAGTAGGATTTTTAGGGTCCACTTCAGGCTAATTTTATATACACCCCAATTTCCTGACAAAAACCACACAGACATACATCAACACACATACACATAATTAAAAAGTATATTTAGAATCTGTCAGCTGCATAACCAAAATATATTATTTTTTTAAATTGCCTTACCTTGAAAATGCTGCAATATTATCAGCTAAAGTTTCTTGATCATTTGCACCAGATCTATAGTAATCATAGATGGACTTTTGAAGAACTGTTTTTGCATATTTTTCAAAATCATCAATACAAACTGGCCTGGGAAACATTTTCCAGGTTCTTGAGACCCTACAGCATTCCTGCTTTGTGTCTTATATACTGATGATCCCTTTATTTATAAATCATTAATATAACAAATTTCCAAAGTTCAGTTCAGGAATATGTTACAAAAGTGCACAAACAAGGGACCAAAAGATCCAGTTAAACTTTGACATCTCATGAGGACACAGTCTACAAAAGAATATCTATGCCCAATTCACATACATTTTACCAGAATCTCTTATAAGAGACTGAGTTTCTTCATCTTTTAAATGGAGATAATAATAACTGTAAAGCATACCTTATGCTGCTGTTGTGAGGGTCAAATGAGATCATCTATGTGAAGAGCTTTGTAAATGTTAAAGCAGTACATGTCTGTTATATATGAATCAAGTATGGAAGAAGGTTGCTGGGATAGTCAGCCCATACTTTATACAGGCCAATAGTTTTTATGACAATCATGATTATGAGTCTAAACAAGAAGGACAGATCCAAGTGGGCACTGCAGAGTGATTTCTGTGGCAGCTAATAGCAATACAAGGGTGCAAAGGGTTAGGAAGTTGTCCCAAAATTGAAGAATGGACTAAAAAGGAAGAGTAGCCCAGGAAATACAAGGACACATCTGTGCTTCAATAGAAAGAGATGCATAGGAGAAAAGAAGTAGATATTTACATTTTGTTAGATAGATCCTTATTGGTGAGGCCTGTTTTGGGAGTGGGGAAACTTTTGGGAAGCACTGATTTTTTTTTTTCTTTAAAGAAGAAGGAGACTTGAGAGCTGAATAAACAGGAAGAAGGGATGCTACAGTCAACATGGAAGTGAGTGGCATGATGAAAGAGGGATTAATAGAGAGAGCCTGTCTGAAGATCTATTGTAGAGTGACCCTGTAGGCAAGAAGAAGGAGGAGGAGGAGGAGGAGAGGAGGAGGAGGAGGAGGAGGAGAAAAAGGAGGAGGGGGAGGAGAAGGAAGAGGAGGAGAGGGAGGAGGGAGGAGGAGGAGGGGGAGGAGGAAGAGAAGAGAGAAGAAGAAGAATTATTCAGGGTTGAGGGCGATATTAACATATTTTTGGAGGGGCAGTTCACAACTACCCACAACTCTCATTCAGTCTCTGGCCACCACAGCCTAACATGGCCAAGTTACACAGCTCAGACTCTATTAGACTGAGGAGCAGCCAGAAGCCATGGATGGGAAGCTAGCCAGGCGGTAGCAATGCAAAGACATTGAGCCCAATGTGAAGAGCAGGAGGTGGGGACTGCTGTTGCTTTCCTAGAGCGCAGAGACCCCAGACAGCACTACTACCAAGGCCAAAACTAGAACTTTGGGTACCCACAGGGGAGGCTTTGGTGTGGGCTCCTGCACTGGCTCCAGCCCTGATGCAGCTGGCAGCTACAACCTGGTTCCTTCCAAGACTTCCATTCTTCATCCTCCCAGATACAGCTGAGCTGCAGGCTTGGTGCTGTAGCCTCAGCTCCCCTCACCCTGAGCCATCCAGAGGGAGCTGGAGAAATTAAGTAGTGGTTTTAGCTTGAAGGCTGAGCAGCCAAGAATCTCTAAAACTTCTTTCTCCTTCACCATTCCTTTTGTCTTCGCCTACAATCTCCCTGTGGCTACAAAGTGCCATTCATAACAGTTTTACCATATCTCCTTCTAGCCTCTCCTCTGAAGCTTTTTGGCTCCTGCCTCTGCTGGCCCTCAAGAGGCAGCTTTTAGATTTTTGTTTTGTTTTATAGAGTGGTAAAAAACTGACTTTGAATTACCTCAATCGCTCTTGCTGAATGTCAATGGGAAACCCACTAAACTTCTCTGGCTCCTAATTTCCTGTGGTAAAATGAAAGGGAAATGAATTTTGTGAGTGAAACCATTAAAATGGTATTTAATGTTATTACAGTTAGTTGAAGAACTAGAACCAAAGATTATTCCTAGAATGATGATGAAGAAAGTTGTCTAGTAGAGTGTCCCATGACTCTTTCCTTGGCACACTGATGTTCATTCAACATTTTCATCAGTGACTTGGATGAAAGCATGGCTGCTGCATATTTATGGGATTTTTAGATGATGGTACATTGGATAACAAAAGCAGGGAAAAAACCCAACACCTCACCTGGCTAAAATATTGGCTGAAAAATAATACGAAAAAATATAATAGGAATGTATGTATATAAAGTCCTACGCTTGGATTAAAAAAAAACACTTCACAAGTAAAAGACTAGGATAGCACATCTGAAAAAAGATCTGGGGTGTTTAGTAGACTGTATGTCCATTAGGGAAACAGGGAAACAGGATAGAGAGCTGGTCTTAGAGCTAGGAAGACCTGTGCCTCTGAATCATAATGGCTGTATCACTCTGGGACAGTTACTTAACCTCTTAGTACCTTGAGACAATACTCTGAGACTATAAGTTACAGGACAGTTGGCTGCTTATCAGTAGTTTCCTACATCATTGTAGGAATGCAGCAATCAATGTAGTTTCCTACATAGGTTCAGATGAAAAAAAAAAGTCCACTATGAGTCAGTGGTGTGAAAAGGAAGTAACAAAAGCTAATATAATTGTAGGCCATCTTGAAAAGCACATAATAGAAGCTGGAGAAAAGATGGCAAAGAAAAAGCAAGGACTCGCCTGAGCTCTCCCAAATTCCCCTCCAAACAGCTTTAAAAAACACGTTAAAACAAATTCTGGAGTGGCAGAACCCACAAAAGGATGGGATAAAACAGTTTTCCAGCCCAAGACAACTTAGAAGACTGTCAGGAAAAGCCTCTTGCACCAAGGTAAGAGTGGAACACAGGCTGCACCACAGCCACAGGAAACCAGGAGCATGCCTTTGGGGTGACTGAATCAGCAAACTCAAAATTTAAGAAATGAATATTAAAAATTATTTTAGAGGTAATTGGGGAAAATACTAATTTGTTTAAAGTAGCATGATAAGCAGAATGGAGGCAGGGATAATCCTCTTGCATCCTTGGTCTAATAATATCTGGGCTATTGGGTTGTTACAATTGCCACATTGGTTTATTTTTTCTAAAATGTATTTATTTATTTTACAAGTAATTTATTATCCTTCCCTCCCACTGGTCTCCACAACTGAACAATAAAAAGAGGTGAAAAAAATCTACATAGCAAATATGCATAGTCCAACAAAACAAATTCCCACATTGGTCATGTTTAAAAATATATTTCTCATCCTGCCTTTTATGTCCATGACCTCTCTGGCAGGAGGGGACACATTTATTTTCAGTTCTTTGGACTTTGTGGTTTACCATGGTATTAGTCAGAGTTCTAAAGTCTTTTGAAGCTGTTTTTCTTTATAATATTGTTGTCATTGTATAGGTTCCCCTAGTTCACTTTATTCCACAGAGCCCTTTCTGATATCTTCTGAAATTGTCCATTTTAACATTTCTTGTGGCACAATAACATTCTATCACATTCACATACCACAATTTGTTTATCAATTCCCCAATCCCCTTACTTTACAGTTTGGTGTTATCATAAAAGGGGCTACTAAAGTATTTTTGTATATATAACTATTTTACTCTATCTTTGATCCTTTTGATGCCTAGCAGGTCTCATATTTATAAAGGACACTGACAAGAAGGAGAGTACCCAAAACTGGGTGACCAGGATGGTGAGGACACTGGAGACCATTCCACATAAGGATCAGTTGAAGAAAAGACTTAAAGAGGAGATGGTAGCTATCTCCAAGTATTTGAAGGGCTACCATGTGGGAGAAAGACTAGACTTCTTCTACTTGCTTCCAAGGATGGAGGTGGAAGGAAGCTTCCAGTTCTCAAATTCTGTAATTCTGAAGGAGTCTAGAGAAGGAAGAGTTGAAGACAAAGCTTAAACAGTTCATAGTATTGTCCAAGGCTGACCCTGCTTTCCTCTCCATGTTCGTCTTGTTTAGATCACATGTATATTTTGTAAAAACAGTTCTTATTTATAAATCAAAAGAATAGTGAAATATAGTAAAATTCAAGTTTCCTACCAAACTGAAGTATAGGCTATTCTCATTTATTGGTCTAATAGGCAGCAGGGATATTATGGAAAGATAAAATCTACATATAAATGCAAAAAAAATGAGTGTGGTCAATTAGTTTTTTTTTTCCTTTCCGTTCTCTGGGAATAGTTCTCCAGATGGTTTATTCCCAAGATGATTTTGTGGACTAGAAGAATCAGATAATCACATCAGTTTTGGAATTGTTAGGAAAAGTTAGTGCTATCTTTGTCAGCAAATTCCTATGAGCAGTATTTCTTTCCCATCTATGTCTTATTTAATTATATTTGCATTGGGACTAATAATAACACTTGTTACCAGCATTCTCTAAATTAAGTCAGCTAATTAGAAAAAAAGTCTTGAGTCATTTTGAGTGTCATTCCACAATATAAACTCATAAAATAGCTCCATGTTATGCAGATTTGGGTATACAATTCTACAGTCTTCTCCAACAACATCCACACTGCAAAAGCAAGATATAATATAACTAGGTTTATAAAACAGATGCTAATTCTACCCTCTGAACCAATATTGTAACATGATTTTCCCTGGAAAATTGTACAAAGATGCCTAATGACATATACATTTTCAAATATGGACAATGTATTTGTTTGTTTTGCTTGATTACACTCATTTGCTACAAAAGGGGGCTTCTATTTGAGATAGAGGAAAGGATATGATTTATTTGGTAGTAATAAAGAGAGATAAAGATACAGAAGGAAGAAAAGAATGAAGGAAAGAAGGAAGAAAGCAAGGAAGAACAGAATAGAGAAAGGAAAGAATAGAGGAAGGAAAGAATGGAGGGAGGAAGAATCAGCAAAATATTAGAAAAATACTTCAAAGAAAACAAGAATGTTCACGAGAGGGACAGAAACAATGGCAGTTTTGTTACTATTATGTTAAATTTAATATATATTTAAAAGACTACATAACAAAAGTTCATTCTTTCATATACAATCGTATTTTTGTTCTTTGTATACTGAAATATTTATATTTATGGATGGCAAGTTCATAATAAAGAAGAATTTTTTAAATTGTTGAGTCTACATGATGGAAAATGTTATCCACATCCAGAAAAAGAACTATGGCATCTGAATGCAAAGGGAAGCATGTTATTTGCTCTTTTTTTGTTGCTTTTTTTCTTGTGGTGTTTCCCATTGGTTCTAATTCTTCTTTATAACATGATTAATATCAAAATAGGTTTAATATGAATATATATGTAGAGCTTATATTAAATTGCACACCATCTTCGAGTGGGAGGAGGGGAGGGATGGGAGAAAATCTGGAACTTAAAATCATATAGAAGTAAATGTTGAAAACTAAAAGTAAATAAATTTTTAAAAATTTTTTAAAAATTGAGTCTAAATTCCTAGTAACATTAAACTTTAAGAATCAATAAGACAGTGGGTAATCTTTTTGTCATAAAGGAGTCTGGTTCCCACATTAAAGCACTCAAGGTAAACTCAAACGTGTATATTTAGTCTTGTAAAAATGAGACTGAGTAATTTTTCATCTGTTTTAGTAAGGGCTTCTGTTGTTTTTTTTTTCTGCAGCTCAATTAATTCCATTTCCTCTGTCATATTCCACTTTTGACCATTTTAAGATGCTGTAATAAGGAAGAGTATATTTTCCCATAGTAATCTTTGCTCTTTACTAATTATGTCTACTATCTGAATGTAAGCCTTTTTTTTTCAGCCTGTCACTAGGTTTAAATATTACAATGCAAATGAAGGTTGATCATAGAATATAAAGTCATAGGCTTCACAAGTACGTAAAAAGTCTGAATTTGTTTTGGTTTGCTTGTCAAAGAAGGGGTATATGGTCCTAAGGTTATGATCATAGTGTAGGGAATTCCATACCCTAATGCAACAGGGCAAGTCAAATATAGCTTGTAGCTTTAAAGAATTGCCTATATACACTA